TGCCACACATATTATAGTTAAACCCAAAATTGGCAGATTTCTATTTATGTCCCAGTTCTCTACTTTCCAAGAGTGTGTGCAGTTGGACTTCCTGTGAACCCAACCTCCAGCAAGGAGTGCATTATGGTGTGAGACCTCAGCCCTATAGCTTGCAAGCACAGCTATGCTGGACAAAACAGTAGGATTCATAATTTGGCTTTCCAATAACTAAAATGAGAAAAAAAGGAGGAAGAGAATCGATAGGTAAGGAGGGTAAGATCTGTTTACCTTCAATGACCTCTGATAGACTTATGAAAATATCAAAATTAAGCAGCTTTTTAGCTGGAAAAAAATAAAAATAAAAATGAGGGCTTCTAAAAAAAAAGAATTGAGGGCTTCTAATTATTAGGATGTAGGCAGAAAATTCAAAAATCATTTTGCCTGACTCCAGCGATGCCTTCTGGTGACAATAATTTAAGATTGCTTAAATATCCTGAATGACAACATTTTTCATCTAGTGATCCATAGATTTTTTCAAATTATAACCCTGTCATAGGCAAAAAATAGCTTAAATTGTGAAAACTGACAGACGGCAGATAATTGGGTATATGCGTGTTTGTGGGAAATGTCTGAAATTGAACTTTTGAACTCTCAAGCAGCAGCCTGCTATCTGTTAGCTGCAACTAGTAAAGGCTGGCTGTATATTTTGATAACTTGTGGTCAAAACAGAAGTTACACATCCTGAAAACTCCTATTAAAAAAGAAACATGAAACAGGATCACTGGTTAGGAGGCTGACCACATGCTGTGCTTCTGCACATAGACTATTCAGATAGAAAACTGTGGGCTTAGAGTCTGGCAAGAAGAGAAGACATATACCTGAAAGGAAGAAGTGATCTTGGGAAGAAAAAGGAGACCTGGAAAGAAGAAAGTAAAGCTCATAGCTGCTGGAAACATCCTGGTAGTGGGAGGAAGGTCTGGGGGATGGGGGAGAAGCGCAAAGACAACCAGAGACATCAAACAGTAACCCCCAAGACAGGTGACCAAGAGCAGTAGCACAATAACGACCAACTCTGCTCACGTGTCCTAGACCAGCAGTGACCTCCCCTGCAAGAACAGGGAATCATGCCCTGGTATAAATGAACGAATCTTTGAGATAATCAGTTAGGGTACAAACTCCTGCCTCCTTGATTATTAAATAAATGCTTGATTGGCTCTTGAGTGTAGTAATGCTTTGCATCCCAGGAAATATGCAATGTTGTAATGTTTGTTCTCCAAACTAGCTGCATCTTCAGCAGTGACTGTAATAAATTTGTATCCAGAGTTTGAGATGCAGACTGTGTACCTTCTGCCTCATCATTATTACTGAATATATTGAATCAGAGGGACTCACAGATTTTGGGTACCTTACCTCTGTATTTTTTAAAATATTATTATTATATAATTGAAATATATATATTTATATATATATATATATACACACATATATATAAAGCTTGACATTTTAGGGGATAACATAATTTTTTATTCATAACTAGGCCTTGTGTCCAGCAGCTCTGCACTTGAGATGAAAGTTACTGATGGATCTTCTAATGCTCCTCCCCAAAGAAAAGCTTCCCATACAACCTGACACATGTTTATAACCAGTTTAAGCTTGAGCCACAATACCAAAGCATATGGAGTGCTCATAAACCCGCACCATGAAAATATTTGCTAACTATAAATAGAAGACTGTCAACCAGATAAAAGCAATCTTTTTCTGAAAACACTCTGTGGTGCTCCTGGACAACTTCCACAGCTGTTATATAAAAAAATGGATAGAAACTTTTGCTGCTAACCCTCAGGATTGAAGGTTCTTCAATAACTTGCACACAGTCTTATTGACTTTTTTTTTTTTTATTGTTGTTCCAGAGCTCTTGATAAAAACAGTCAGCAGCCAGAAAAATCTATACACAATGAGATGCTGCTGTGGGCCAGCATTATGAATGTAGTCTAGCTCGAGATACCTTTGACGGGTGAGTAAGCAGCAGCTAAAGCAAACAGCTATGTAATATCAGCTTTGCCATCCTCTGTCTCTAATTCAGCCTGTCACTTGTCTCCCTTGTGAAAGACAAGCCTGTGACAGTTGCTGGGCTGGACTTTTTCTTCACCACATTACCTGATGACTTTTTAGGCCTCAGCATAGTAAGAAGAGAGAGAAGAACAATCTCAATTGCTGGTGGGCGTCCAACTTTTTTGGTGGGCGTCCATCTGTGGGCTGGATGCTGTCCTTTTTAGGCAGCTCCCTGATGGTCTGCATGTGCTTTTTCGGTGGCTCCCCACACATTTTTTCCCCATCATCCATGGTTGGATGTATGCTGAGGGTTTGGCCATAGAGGCCACAGATTTCTTTGCAGTGCTTCCTCTTCCTCCCCAGCTGCACCATGTTTAAACATCTTTGGATATTTAGTGAGGGGACACCCATCAAGACCACCTATTTGTGTGATGCATTTTCTTTTTTCCTCAGCCACACTGTTTCATCCATCTTTGGACAACTACTGAGGGGTTGGCCATAGAGGTTATCCCTTTCTTTGCAGTGTTTCATTTTCCACCCCAGCCACACCATTTCATCCATCTTTGGACTTTTAGTGAGGGGTCGCTCTTTGAGGTCATCCTTTTGTATGCTGCATTTCTTCTCCTCCCCATCCACACTGTTCTGAGCTCCCAGCTCCAAGGTCCCATGGAGAGAACCATGCTGGAGCAGATCTTCACAGGACAGCCCATGGAGGATGTCACAGCACAGTAGGTGGATGTGCTCTGAAGGAGATGTTCCTGTGGAGACGATTCCCCACGGGGGGAGAGGGGACTTCATCTTTTCTTCTCTCCCTGACCTACTGAAGTCAGGGAAGGAGAGGACAGCTTGGTGGGCAGCTTACAGACAGCCAAGCCTAACCCACCACCCCTGATCATTTTCCACCAAAGGGAAGCTGAAGAAACAGTCTTAGAAACAGTCAGGGAATATCTCTGCCCCTGCAGGCAGGAAAAGTCCATCCAGTAGGCATTGCTTTAGCACCACCTGGCCGAGAAAGGTTGCGTGCAAGCTTCCCCCAGGCAAAGGTGCCTGTGCTGGTAACTGTCTACAACACATCCTGTGTTGTAGGGTGAAGCTGTTCTCCTGGAGCCTGCAGATCCACCCAGGAGTGTGCCATTTGCCTGAACTTGCCTTTCGTCTGAGAAAGACGTCCAGCGTGAGCACGCTGCAGCTGCCTTGCTCTGTGCCACGGAGAGGGAGAAGCTGATGAGTGTTGGCCTGCAATGGCCTCCAAAAGAGCCTCACAAATGCGGCGGAGTGGGCAAGGCAAAGATGAGTGAGAGTGTGTCTTCTCCCCCCTGAAGCACAGACACAAGCACACTCCAAGTGCCAAAGAGAGAGGCCAGGCTCAGAAGTGCTTCAGCAAATGAGCCTTGCCCTGACCAGGCCTCCCTCCAGCTCCTCCAACGGGGCTGGCATTTTTTTTTGAGCAGCAGCATGAGGTGGTGTGTAGGAGATCTGCCTCTGTCTTCAACCACCCCTCCAGTAACTGAAAACAGAAGGAGCTTAGGACAGCAGTGCCCCATCAGCCACACTGGCTTCTGACTGAAGACCGCTCACGACAGGCCCCAAAGGCCTTGGTGGCCATGTGGTCGGCTGGTGCAACAGCCTTCAGGCAATCAGGCCCTCTCCTCCCCTGTCCCAGGGGCAGCATGCAGAAATGTCCCCTTGTCAGTCTGGGGGCACCATGCAGGACAGGGAAGGAGGGCTCAGACAGCACTTGAAGGTTCACAGTTCTTTTATTGGTGGCAACCAGAGGCAAGCAGGAGAAGCTGAAAAGTCCTTAACTTAGTGTAAGCACCACTGTGCAACAACTAAAACGTTGGTGTGTTATCAATATTATTCTCATCCTAAATCCAAAACACAGCACCATACCAACCACTATATTCTACTATATATCTTGCTCAGATATTCTACTATTTTATAGTACTCTAGTACGCTGATTGTCCTGAAAAGCTCCGAGGGCTTAAAGCTCTCAGAAATAAAATTTCCTTCGGTCTTTAGCAAGGCAGAATTAGAGCTGTAAGGTTATATGCAGATATCTGGATATGTACATCAATGTTCTAGAGTAAAATGAAGATGACAAGAATTGAATCAGTGTCCTTTCCTTTATTAAAAAAATTCAGGGTTCCAGAATAATCAGTGCTCCATAATGACTGCACATATAGCCAGAAGCACTATACAACGATTTTATGATGGGATTCCAGCAGAGGCAATTTTGTGTGAAATTTAGGACTAATTCCCAAGTCACACAAAGTGCTGGAGCAAGCAAAGCCAGAACATTAACCTTCAGGACAGGGACATTTCCACCTGTTTTAACATGGTTGGTAGATTTTTCTCTAAATAACAGATTTATGCTGCTTCTCAGTATAACTTTTGAAGGACTTTAAGGAAGAATTTGAGAAATGGAAGATTTTTGGGCTGTGATGTCTAGATTTAATGTCATCAATGGCCACCTCTCTCTTCCTAAGAGATATCTGAGCAAGAAATCAAGGTTTCTGAATTCTAACTTTGTATCAAAGTTATTCTGGGAACAATCTGCATAAGAAGGCAGTATTACTTATCTACCTTACATGTTTCATGCAAATAAAGCAGGATATCAAATATTTCCTTTCTAAATCTCACATTAAAGGTCAAGTGAAGTAAATTGCTGCAGTTGCACAGAAGTGAGTGGAACTAAAGCAGTTTTCACTATAGCTCTAGCTTGCATTTTTGTACTAGATGACTGCATCTTTGCTTTTTACTATTAGTGATATGTTCTTTTTCCCACAGAGACCTTGCAATTCAGCCCTAAACATGTTTAGTTTTCATTTACATATTTGCTCAAAAACGATCATAGTTCTATTTTAATTGCAAAAGAATTATCATTTTTTGAAAATGAAAGAAAAATAAATGCAAGGGGAGAGAGGAAGGAAAGAGAGAGCAGGAAAAAAAAAAAAAAAAAAAAAAAAAAGAGGGATTATTTAAACCAAAATAAAAGTTCACTGAGACCAGTGGTGTGTGCTTAATATATTGTTTATGTGTTTTCTTCCAAGGGCTGTAGCTGGGCAACAAGGAAGACAGTTTGTTTTCCTTTTGCTACTGATCCAACAAACTGGCCAGGTGAAACTTGTGCCTTCCGTAGCATGACGGAATGTGCCTGGAAGAGAAAAGCTTTTGAGATGACATGGAACAGGCAGAGGAAGAATGGAAGAAAAGTGGCTGGGAGGAAAGCTGTAGCTTGTGCAGAAAGCGTGAAGTCCCCAGATCTCACAAGCAGCAACAGGGTGAATGGGGACTGATTATTCAGAGTCATTCCAAGGCGCTGTGGAGTGAGGCCAGTGGAGGGCTCAAAAGGAGCCGATTCTTTCTGAAATGGGCTGTAGCCCTGGGAAACTTCTTGCCAAAGATGTGGATACAAGGAGTTTTCATGGGCTCAAGGCAAACTGGAAGGGAGATTGTTTGGGATTATCTGCTAAGCAGAAAAGCTGCTCCAGGCCAACATCTCCTCTGAACCAAAAATACTTAGAAAATAGGAAAACTTAGAAACTTAGGATCTTAAATACTTTTTTGTTGTTCCTTTTTTATTTTTTTCCCTTGGGCTTCTTTTTTATGGGCATACTTGAGAGAACACTGCACAGATGGTGTAAGATAACCCTTGATCTGAACTAGTATGGCTCTTCTGGCAGCTGGGACTAACAAGGGATTAAAAGAAACTACTTCAGAGGGTACCATGTGCAGGGTGTTGGTCTGTGAAGTGCTTTGAGTATTAAAACAGGGCAAGGAACTGGGGTCTAGAGAGAGCCTCTGCCTTCTGGCTCTGCTAAATGAGGATGTGGAATCCACATTCATGTGTACCCATGGCATCATATAATTTATTTCATTTTCTCTTCTATTTTGATTCAGTCAGATCAACAAAAGTTTTCCAGGAAACAAGCCAAATAAACAAACAAACAAACAAATGAAAACCCCAGCATATGAGATTTTGCAGAATTTATCAGAACTGCTGTCAACCTGGAATGTGGCTTCATAGAAACTGAAACAATACAAAATGTTAAGGAAAAATAAGCTTAACATTTCAAACACAAACAATCTAGATATATAGAGCATCAGTTAACTGTGTTCCCTTCAAGAAACACCATCTAATAGGCAAAGAGATGACAAAGAGCCCAGAAATGGAAGGAAAAAGGAGGGGCAAGTCTAAGTTCTTGGAAGGACAGGTAGGTTTTGGATAAACATCAAGCTCAAAAGGAGTCTACAGAGCTCACAGTCCCACAGACCTTAGGCCACACTGCTCTTTCCAGTTGTGCAAACCCTGACAACGCCAAACACCAGAAGAGGGTATCAAGGGCATGTTCTTGATCCTCATGGTTGAAAAGTATCAAGAATAAGGGATAACTTGGGAACAAACCACAGTTATTCAGTATGGGTAAGGCCTGCTTTGTAGCTGGAAAGGAAGCTTCACAAATAGCAGAACTGTGCTGTTATTGCTATGTACATGTTTAGAAATTGCTGGAGTCCAACAGTATTTGGTGTGAGAAAGCTATACAGAAGCATTCAGTCTTTCACTGGCAGATTCTTAGCCTGTGTGAGCTAACTTTTTTTTTTTTCTATTGTTCCATGAACAGACGGACCTAACTGCAAAGGATGAACTTCCTAACAGCCAGCAGTAGTGTTGAGAATAAAAAGGAATCTTCTTTTCATCTAGATGAAAAGGTGTCTGATCTGAAACAGCCTTTTTACTAGTGTAGGTATGGTGTAGATATCCTCTAGGTGACAGCTGCCCAGGGAACACACACAGATGCACACTGTGAGCTACTGAAGCTTGTTATTCAGGACCAAAACTACCATTTTCCTGCTGTCCTCTTAGAAACAGAGTGCTACTCATCCTGTTTTGAGTCTAAGCAATGGGATTAAGGACATCAGTTTGAAAGCAGGATTATTTAGTTCTGCTGTGCAGCAAGAAAAGCACAGGTGTCAAGACAAGAGCAAGACAAGCTGTATATCTTGCGACTTGGGTCACTTTCCCCCTCACAATGACTGCTTTTTCCCTGAACCATGATCAGGCCAAAGTACTCTGCACAGGAACCACGTAGGAAAATGCAAGCAAATGGTTGTCCCAGATGTTTTGGGGCTGTGTTTCCCAAGCATCAGGAAGAGCTGCAGCCCTTCACCACCACCGTGGGGCCACCTAAAGCACATCACAACTGTCATGACAGAGTATAGATCACACCAAATCCTTCCAATATGTATGCATTTGTCCTCTGATGAGCTCTTCTGGAGCTCTGGGCCCCAACTAGCCCTCAACCTTTCTGCAGAAGGTGAAGCTGCAGGTGGCTGTTTCACCAAGCATCAGGTCTGCATAAAGCCACAAAGTCAGGGTAGCAGGTATAGTATATAGTCCAAGCTAAATGGCATTGCATTTTGTTGTTGTTTTTTGATGGGGCAGATAGGGTAGGGGGAAGTGTATGGGAAATGATTCTGACCTGCCTTCAAGCTTTGCAAAAATCCTGGAACAAATAACCTTTTCATAAATGCCTGCAAGATTATAAATCACAGCAGCAGCTGCTTCATATAGCAGCAAGGACAAGTAGCCTATGTTTTGAACTGATCTAATCTCCAGTTTTAGCAGTGCAACAGGCTTTAAGAGTAGAGGAAATGTAGCTGTCACAGTCGTACCATTACGAGGGTTTCCAAAATACTTGCATGTGACATTTTCATAAACAAGCTGCAGCAGCGTGGTCTAGATGAGACAATGATAGATTGGGTGCAAAGCTGGTTTGATAACGTATTGGAGAGGGTATCAGTGGTGCTTTGTCAGAGTGGAAGGATGTAGAAAGTGGAGCTCAGCCAAATCTATTCTGGATCTGATTCTGGTATGTGTTTTCATTAATGAATTAGATGATGGAAAGAGAGTACAGTTATTAAATTTTCAGGTGGCATAAAGCTCAGAGGCATTGTAAGTATAAGAGGACAGGATTCGAATTCAGAATGATCTTGAAAAATTGCATAACCTGTCTGGTGTGTAGAAGGCTGCATTTCAGCAGGGGCAAGTGCAAGGTATTATGGTTTAACCTGTCGGGCAGCTGAGCACCACACAGCTCTTTGCTCACTTCCCAAACCATGGGATGGGGGGTAGAATTGGAAAAAAAAAATAGGTAAAAGCTTTAATAAAGAACAAACAAAGCAAGTGATGCACAATGTAATTGCTCATGACCTGCTGAATGATGCCTATCCCATCCCTGAGCAGTGGTCCACCCTACCCTGGCCAGCCACCCCATATTAATTGCTCAGCATGATGCATTGTGGCATGGGATATCCCTGGGCCAGATGTCCTGGTTCTCTCCCCTCCCATCTCTTTTTCACCCCCAGCCCCTCACTGACAGGGCAGCATGAGAAGCTGGAAGGTCCTTGGCTCTGTGTGAGCACTGCTCTGCGACAACTAAAACATCAGTGTGTTATCAGTGTTATTCTCATTCTGCATCCAGAACATAGCATCAGACCAGCTTCTAGGAAGAAAATTAACTCTATCCCAACTAAAACCAGAACACAAGGTTAAAAAACTTATACACCAATATCAAAATTGCTTAATAGCAGTGCCATAGTGAAGCATGGTATCACAGCGGATCGCAAGCTGAATCGTGTCATGCTCTTGTTGAAAAAAAGGCAAATCACCACCAAAGCAGGGTGAACAAACATGGAGTAACTTTCAAGACATGCAGTAGTCCTTCAGCTTGGCACTGGAAAAACTTCAGACACCATATTGCATTCAGTTTTGAATGTGACATCTCCATAAAGATAGATAGCATCAGAGATGCAGAAAACGTGGTTGGAACAGTAAGACTGACAGACTTGGTGTCTGTTTAATTTCAACAAGCCTCAAAAGAAGCTCTTCAATAAGCTTCATGTACGTAAAAGGATTTTGCAAACAGGAATAAAACAATTAGTTTCTGGGAAATGAACACGAATATGCTTGACTTACAGAAGAATTTGAACTTTTCAACAGTGACATGTGCAAAGTAATGGAAAGATTCCTCTTGAAAACAACATTGTGCTAATGGCCTGACTGTAACTGCGCTGATACCTTCAATGCGAGTGTCATTGCATCCTTCTGAATGCAAGCCCTCATAAAGTTCATGCACCAAATGACTGGGTGTGAGACCACTTTGGGAGTCAGCTGCAGTGAGCTCCATGCTGAATCTCTCAAATGTTTCAGCCTGACGAAACCCAGAGAGTTTCAGCACAAAGCCTCAGTGTGGGCTGCTCCATCTGGGCTTTGCTTGTTGCATCAGTCTCTTCCGCACTTGCTATTTTCTTGCTGCCCAAACCGTTCAGGAAAAGTTTGTTTGCGTGCAAGGAGAAAGGCAGCATGTTTTACAGTTTCCCTAGGGTGGCAGAAAAATAAGTCTTCTTGACAACCGCTGAGATCTCTAACACACACACGCACACAAAATCCACAGTTTGGATGTGGTATTTCTTGTGGCACCATTTACTACCTGTTTCTTGGCTTATGGGCAGAACACTCTGAGGAGTTAAAAACTTTTCTTTGAACGGTTTAGAGTGATCTCCATTAGAGATGATATTTAAGCTTTTATTGCAATTTGATGTGCTGAAAGATAAGGCACTTGCTTATGACAGATTGCTTTTTTTTTCTCCTGTGATACCATTGCCCAAGTGCAAGGAACCATCTTCAGTTGAATCTGATGCCTCCGACAGTGATTGATTGTATGCAATCAAGCATAATTAAACCCATAGACCCCATGGGTTCATGTCAGACCTGAACCTCTTGTACTGACTCAGTGCTGAATCTCCAGAAAAATCTTTTCTGAACTTGGGCTGACAAGTTCTGAGATGAGGCAACAGAGCACGGAGGAAGGCAGGATGGTGAGTGGCAGTGGGGTAGGTCCAGCTAGGAGGAACTGCAGTCAGTGACGATGGCCTTTTCAGCAGATACCCTGCTGGTCTAGAGAATTTGTGAAAAACATCTGAGAACAGATCCCCAACAACTACATGTTCGGAAACTGGCACCGTTCTTTCAGACACCAAATGCATTTGTATTGTGTGTAGGACATTACTTGAAGTGTGTTTTGTCTTCTGGGATCTGCAAAGTTGTGTTTCCTTTGCTGCCTACTAATATGTAATTGATTGATCAACCACACGACTTTCCAAAGACTTGGAAAACCAGAGGGTGCTAAACTCCCCTCTAAAGGAATTCAGAACCAGTCTTCTGTTTTTGCTTCTGGAAATCTGTGGCTGAAGGAGAACAGAAACTGCCTATTCTGTTTTGTTTTACCACCTCGGAGACTCCAGCACCAAACACAAGAGCCCTCTGGTCAGCACTCCTGGCTTGGTGACCTTCAATTTTTCCAGTATTGCTCTTAGCCATTGAAAATTAAGAAGCTGAAGTTCATGCTGAGGCATGGGATTTATTTATTTTAGATTTATGGCAGCCATAAATTCTAGCCATATACTTTCAAAGACAGAAGAAGTCTTTGTAACCTTCATTTTGCATAAAATAAGGTGGAGTGTTACCATCACACCTTCAGGTGAGCTAGACTGTGGGTTTTACAGACTTCAGTTGGTGGAGAATCTGCCATATCCTCAGGTGAACTCTCCAGCATTAAAAATATGCAGCTTATCTGTAGTCTGAACTTGTCTGGCTGGAGCTACCAGCCTGTGAAGTGTTATGCATTTGTATGTTAAATTAAAGAGCCCTCTGCCCTTATATATATAATTCTTCTGGAATCCTATTTGGAGCTTTTTTCTTCACTTACTGCTTTTATATTTCATTACTGTTCTGCTGAAAGAGTTCAAAGTTTTCAATTGAAAGTACTATGCAATTCCAGGGGACAACACTCTTCTGCACCAGTCTGTTTGCAGTACAGCGTGGGATGAAGGGAAATGCACGCACAACTCCCATCAGTGCTGAATGTCAGCTTTAACAGTGTCCCCCCAGAATTTGGGGCTATCTCTAGGCCTTTTCATCAGGGGCTTATAACCTAGCAGTTTGCTGTTCTCTGATACTAATGCTTGAAGTTTTAATGAGCACAGGCAAATGAGAGTGCTTAGCAACAATACAGATAGTACAACAAATACAGGATAAGCAGTTTGAGATTAGATTTTAATACCTTCTTAATGACAACACCAAGATCTAGTTATTGCTCTGTGTAACTAAGCCACTAACACAGATGCTAGAATACAACAACACTTATGCACTGTTGGGGTTTCCACTTTGGGAAGTGAGATTTTGGAAGCAACCAGGACGAAGCATGATACAGGGAGAGAATTTCTTCTTGCCAAACAATATATTAAGTCTGCACAAGCACCATGATGGTAAGGGCAAAGTGCCCTCCCTTGCATTGATTTCAGAGAATTTCTCTAGATCCCCATAAATTGAAATTGGAGAACTAAAGCAAAGGTATTGACATTGCTTATTAATTATTACGTTTTCTTTTAAACCTTAAACCCCCTTCTTAGCTCCATTTATTCCCAGGAATGACAGTCATATGGATGCAATCATGCTTCATGTTTCAGAACTATTTTATTTATTTATTTTGGAGAGGGACTGGTTGAACTAAGCTCAGAATAGCCTTGAAAGGAGTTTGACTCCTCAATGTGAAACTTGCAGGACCCTCTAATGTTTGAAAACATGTTGGCCAAATACAAAAGCAAATGCTGTGGGATGCTGTAAACTCCCCAAAGAAGCTGAAGTCAGCTTGCCATTTGGGAATCACTGGTCCAGAAGCTGAAGGGAAAGGCTGCAAAAATTGGAAATGGATCCTCAAGCTCAAACTCTGTGCAGTGCAGAAAAAAAAAAAAAAAAAAAAAAAAAAACAGCAAGCCAGGATCTGAATGGTTTGACAAAGGACACGACAAATTGTCCCTCTTACCATATGGCTAAAGATGTTGCCCTGGAAGAATTCAGTGTGTCAGACATGGGCCTCTAAAAAAGACCACTCTTACTACAATTTCAGACCCACATTTGTTCCAGAACAGTTGAATAACCTTGTTTTTATTTACGTTCCGCTGCTGATATTGCCATTATGTAATGCCCTAAACAAGCTGGTGTGTCATTACTGCGTGCCCTTTTTTTTCCATGCATTGCTTCATTGCTATCTGATATACTAGTCCTATACTAAATGTTATTAGTAAATCACCAAAAGGTGATGTCTGGCTTAAAAGTTTCACAGAGGTAAGAGGCAGACCCAGTGTCAGAGCAATGTACAAATCATTTCATGCCAAGAATATCTGGCATTGTGTTTTGTTACCCAATACAACTTCAGCATCTGTTCAGGTCTCCTGTTCTCTTTGTGCTGATCTTTGCTACGAGGAGAAGAAAATGACCAAACAATAGATTTAATGGTCCATGTATCAGTGTCTCAAACACTATCTCTCCTTTTCTCCATGATCCCTGAAAGCACGGGTTCAGATCCCAGCAGACCTGACTTAGCCCTTTTCCTTTCCAGGAAAGATACAAAGCTGCAGCTTTCTGTACACCAGCCAAATGAGAAACAGAAAACAAAGGGGAAAGAGGGCAAAGAAAAGCATTTATAAGGAAGTGAGAGGCTTTTCAGGAGGAAATAATGAAACAGGAAGATAATGTCAGAGGCAACAGCCACAGAGAAAACACCCAACAAGAGCAAAGCTAAGGAGAGGTGGGAAGAAAATGCTGATGAGAGACTGAGGGAAGGGAGAGCAGAATGAAACAGAAAGGAGTCTCAGCAAATTTCCATAATGTAACACTGATGAAGCCTTTTATGATTATAAAGAGGAATTTTCAGAAGTGTTCCCTTGCAGGAAGTTTGCATACTCATATTTTAATATCTCTCTTTTCATATCTCGCAACACTTTCCCAGCCTTGAGATATCACTTGCATGGTACCTTGTGGGACCTGGATACAGGTTGCTTCTATCAAGAGCTAGACAGAACCCTGAGCTGATTCTATATTTGTGTTGGATGCAAAACTGCAAAATGCCAATGAAAGCAATGAGATTCTGAGCCACCTCAAGAAAATCCAAATCCATGTGTCTGTACAGTCTTAAACACTTCCACAAATCTCAGCCTGCACCTAATGCAAGTCCAGTCTCAAGCACTGACCAGCGTGAAAACTATGCATTATTGCCATTTACAGCCACGAGGTGCTCTATACTCTCAGACTAGATACTTTTTATTTTCTCAGATTGAATTTATGGCTACAACATTTCCTGAGATAGATCTATACAACTATAAAAACTAAAAAGATTATAGCTGTCCCTGAAATAATCTTTGAAAGGTATAGACCATCACTCAGTACTCGTGTCAAAAAACAGACTGCCAGAGAAATCACGGTACAGCAGAGAGGAAGCTTTGAAGCTCCACAGAGTGATTTCACCAGACTTTTCCACCTGAAACACATTTCTCCTGTGCAGATTATTTGCAGAGCATAATTCCACCTCAGTCACCTCAGGAGGACTGGCACCAGTTGTCTATTCTCTCTGCGTCCTATGAAGCGACAAGAAATAATCTCTGATCTCTTCAGGGCCTCTGCTGCAGATCTCAGGGGGAGGACATTCCAGTGGATTCCCCTCAAAATTGCACGAGCAGTAATTGCATCCCCAGTCCAGGTTCACCAACTCCCCAAAGCTTGCTGGAAGGGCCCGTAAACAGTTGTTTCCCAGCCACAGCGTGTGCAGGTTCCTTAAAACACAGATATCCTCAGGCAGGCTCTCCAGGGAGTTGAAGAGCAACAGCAGCGTTTCCAGTTTCTCCAGATGCCGGATGCTGGAGGGGATTGTGCGGATTTTGTTGTCACTCAGGTCCAGAAAGGTGAGGCCCCTTAGCTGGCAGAGAGGGGCAGGCAGTTCAGTCAGGCTGTTGTTGGCCAGGTGGAGGCTTCGCAGCCTCTGAAGCGCCGCCATCTCAGGGGGCAGGGAGCTCAGGCGGTTGTTGCTCAGGGTGAGCCTCTCCAAGTGCCTCAGAGAGCCGATTTCGGCAGGAAGGGCCTTCAGGTTGTTGGAGTCCATGTAAAGGAGAGTGAGGTTCTTCAGGCGGCTGATGTCTCGGGGGAGCAGCTCCAGGCGGTGCGTCAGGCAGCTCTCCCGTTCTGGGCTCATCTCCAGGACCTGCAGCTGGTCCAGGCCGAAGACCTGCTCAGGAACCGCTGCCAGCTCTCTACCGGAGATCTTCAGTTTCTTCTTCCCTTCGTACTTTGGGTCGTGCTCTGTAAGGTACCTCCACAGTGGGTCAGGACCCGTAGGGGCACATCTGAAGGAGGCATCTGCGTTCATTCTTCCACCAGAAAGAAATGTAGCTGGCCGAACTAAGCCCAGGAGGGTGACAGACAATTTGTTGCATGCACCACGGGCAACTGCTGAGGTTCTCAGTCGATCAAGGCCTTCTGTCAGCTTACCTCTCTGCCAGGCACGTAACAACACACATGCGGAGTGTTTGGGTTGCTCAGAGACGTCCCACTGAGCAAACATTTGCCCTTCTTGCTCCGTCAGGTGTTTCCCTCCTGGCACTGCAGCGTACACAAAACCCAGTTCCCGGGCTGTGAATATTTCCTCTCAGTGCTTTCAGCTGGTGGCAAGTGTCTGCTGGTGCTTAGAAAGTGAAACAGCAGTGCTGTGCCTGTGCTTGTCAGCAGTTTGGTTCAAAGCATTTTTTGTTTGTAGCGCTGTCCTGGTGGGCACACCTAAGATGTTTGTCTGAAGAATTTACATTGGTCATTCCCAGGGGATTGCAATGGAAGCAGCAAGGCTGGGTAGATAAAGCACATGGTAAATGGGACAAGGAGACAGACTCATAGCTGGTGGCTTAGGGAGCTGGCAGCCAGGAACAAGCCCTGCCCTCCAGGACAGCTTTTGCCTTTAACATTAACCAAACACAAAAAAGCATCCAGTTTTGAAATCTGGAAGTCATCCTCTCTCCTGCTGAACACATGAACCTCTGCACCACAGAGATAGGGTCTTTCTTGTGCTGCACTTATTCTGGCATATTTAAAAACATATTTTTTTTATTATTCCTTCCTGCATGGTTTTGTAATAGGTGAAAAATACCAGGTTTATCCTAAGTCACTCAGCACAGCATGCAACACAGAGAGCAGGGCATTTTCCCACAAGGAGACAATTGTGGGTTTGAAGCCTCAGGCTGAGAAAGCTACCTCTTTTATTTCATCCTCTAATCCTTAAGGCTTTCAGCTAAAAAATGCTTAGAACGACCATGTCAGATGCTTTTCAAGGAGAGGGGTCTCCACAATCTCCCACTGAGTATTAAAGGCAGAAGACGTGTTGTAAGTGCAGTGTGAACAGGTCTACCAGGTCAGGTCTTGTGGACAGTGAATGCATGGGTTCCTATTCCCCACTCCAGATCCAATGTCCTCAGCCCTGGATGGTGCTGAGTTTGCAGGGAACCTGTTTCCCAACACCAGCTTGCACAGATGTGTGGAGAGTATTGGGAGCCTGCTAGCCAGAAGATGCTGACTAGAGGATTTGGGGATTACAGGTGAATACCAATACCATTTCTGAACTTACACTTTATGTTCTCCTGTTTTCTATCGGATTTTGCCCTCAGATACAGACTTTAAGAGCTGTTGCATACTGACTGTTACCCTCAACTTGGACTGAGTGCAAATACCCTAACTCTATTGAAATCAAGCTCTGAATTTCATTCTGATTCATCTGTAAGAGAAAACTACCTCCTCCCTGATATCCATCAGTGCTATGGGGCTCCTTTTGCATCATAAACTCCGAGGATGGCAATGGCTTCCTGATGGGGACCATGCAAGCTGCTGAGCTGGGACTATCACAACTTGGTGAACAATGGTGTGAGCAGATCCTGGGGACACAGAATGGTTTCCCTTTTCATTAGGGTCACATGTTAATGTCAATGGGATCTGAATCACAGAATCACAGAACTGAAGGGGTTGGAAGGGACCTCGAAAGATCATTGGGTCCAACCCCCCATGAAGGTTATAGCATGAAGGTTCTAGCAGCTTCATCAAGAAGGGGTGGACATTTTACATTAAAAAAAGATTCACCAGACTCTAATAGTTGTTCATAAGTAAGACTGTGTATAATAACTTGGAAATATATTAATATATCAGAGATGAATAGAGCAGCCAAAGAAAAGTGAGATTTTTTTTTTTTTCACTTGCAAGGGAAAGTTAAGGGAAAGTTGCAGACTAGAAATGACAGACTTTACAATTAACCATAAAAATAAGACTCCCATCAAAAAACTGCTGAAGAATTTACTGCAATGAGAGTCATTTCAGACTTGAACAAAAGCCATCCCCATTACTACAGGAAAAAAATGTTTTTTATATATTAGCTTTGTCTGTCCTGAGAAATAAACTGAATTGCTGTACATGCTGCCTTCTGCTTAAACAGATTTCTCTCTCCACATCAAAACCCGAGACTTTCAGACAGAACCTCATGCTGAGCCAAAGCTTAGAGAGAGGTTTTTCTGATGCTGGGCACTGTTCTCCCTACTGCACTTTTTCCTCCAGGGATCTGACCCTGGGCATTCCTTTACCAAGGTGCCAGGTTCTTTTCTGCTTCATCTTGCAGGACATCCTTCCTCCTATGCTGTCTCATCAGGAATGTCAGTGTATGATTAATGTCCCTCAATCAAATTGTTCCCTTGTGCTTTCTCCATACAGTTCATGATCCAAAAATAAAATAACAAGAAGCCCATATTGTCAACATATGATCCCCCTCAGAGACTCAGCATATTATTTTCATTTTTAATTTAGACTAACTTTAATGACAATATTGCAGAGTCTTGAATCAAGGTACATGAGGAATTCAGACATTAGCCTACAAATCTGCTTTGTAATGCAACTCAGACAAGCACAGTCTCCTGTTCATACTCTTTTCAGGCTTTTCCAACTGGTTGTTTCCATTTCACAAGTCAGAACACAAAAATCTGGTTGTGACTTCTAGGTATAAACAAAACAATGAAGCCAAGCAGGCTTTTCTTAATTCAACCTCACTAGTTACAAGGTGTTGAAATGAAAGCCCAGACTCTGATAACTCTATGAAAAGTACCATGCTTGGGATGTAGGAGGCAGTTGTGTGCCTGATGTAAAGACTTCCCTAGCAGAGCTGGCTCTGGGGGGACCACACCAAAGACCCCTGATGGTCTCTGCTGGATGCTCAACCCTGTGTAGGGCTGCAGATCAGGGCAAGAGCCTGATTTTACCCCCACTGCTGGTTCTGTTCTTGTACCCTGCCACAAAGCAGCAGACTTCATGCTCAGCAGAACTGATCTGATCTCACAGAGAATGAAATAGGTAGGTAGTGGATGTCTGCAGATATTTAAAGCATTTTTTTCCTGTTTTTTTTTGCTGGCAAAAGGACAATACAGGTTCATGCCATAACCATGTCTCACTCCCCCTGAGATGCTCGACAGTCATTCCCATAGCACCCAACACCTCATCACCTGTAACAGCTATCCCCACACCAGCTCAGTGGAAATATGAGTCAGGAAAGGTAGAGGATAAATACCTGTCAGAAACTCTTCTTTCATGAACACCTTGTTAATCCAGGCAACACAACTCAGACTGCTTCAGCTGACTACTTTAGGGTGGGCTAAATCACCCTCTCACATTGGAGACATCAAAATGTAGGTGCTGCAGCCTGATTCTGAATCTCACTGTGAAAGATGGAGTATGGGATTCAGGTACCTAGATATAAGTATCTCACATAATTTGAGGTGCTCCGTAATCTCCCTCAGGGATGCCTACTGCAGATCTAGGACATCCCTTGTGGTACCCAGCCATGCATAGGCATCAAGTCCTACTCCAGAAGCTGCCAAAACACAGACTGAAGCAGGGCAAAGCTTGGAAAGTTTCCACTTTAAAAGACTAAACCATCAGTGAATGCTATTTTTTTTAATTGTTCATAATTTGAAAGCTGTGTTTATCTCCCAGATGGTTTTGCACTCAGAGTAAAGACCTTGGGCTTAGCTGCTGCAGAATTTTTATTGCATCTCTGGAAAAACACACACATTTGTTTTTGTCCTGGGCAGTGTAGTCTTGCTTTGATTACACATTTCCAAATAAACATGTGGAACGGAGTTCAACCTTAGACAGTTTAATTATCCCATATTAACAAGAAGAGGTGTGAAAAGGACAGCTCAAGAAAGCAGCATCAGAAGGCTGTCATCAGAGAAGCCTCTCCAAAGACAGTGAAGAAGAAAACAGTACATTCCTTGCTAGAGCTTCAAGAAGAAGCTAATTAAAAGCAGTTTAGAATGCAAGTAAAAATTGTTAAATAATGTAACATGCAAAATTATTTTCCCCAAATGAGTAGTTTTTTGTTTTTGTTTTAAACTTTAAATTATTTACTTGACAGGCAAAATATGTAATGGAATAATGGTCTGTTTGCTATAATTGCAATAATTTACATGTTTATTTTAAAAAAGAAAAACTCCCAGTAACATCAAAAAAAATGCACGTAGCATTAGCACCTTTATAATATGTAGAAAATGCATTAGGGAGACAGACAGTGTAATTTTAACAGTACGTTCTCTCTTACCACAGGGCCAGCCAAAAGAAATCCAACAGTAATAAAAGTGGATCCTTGGATTTCAGTCTCAGACTCACTGAATGGACTCTGCTGTGATGTACCAAACACTTTGTTTCAGAGCCAGGAACACTGAGAGGCAAAAGCCACATCCCCATCTTGTTCAGGAGTGGTTAGGGGAGCAGCCACAAGCACCATCTCCTCCCTGTCAGCCACCTCGTGCATCCAAGGCTGCCTTGCAAAGTGTTGGACAGACAAAACATGCCTGCCTGTCACCTTCCTGCACACACAGACACCTGCTCAGGCACACAGGCATCTGCATTTTTTGGAGGGCAGCTTCTGACCATGCCCAGGGCTGTACTCAGGCATTTAACTGTCCGCCCAGATGGCAGATTTAATTTGGAATGAAATCTCAGGCCACCTTTCCAAAGACTGCAAATACCCACAAGCAGACTGAGGCAAAAACTGGTGCAGCTTTTTCTGCTTGAGTCTGTAGGGCAGGAATCCTGCACAGACATTTATTTTACTTATTTATTTGTTTATTTATATATTTTCAGTTGACTTTAGGCACAGTCACACAGGACTTGCTTCTGGAGGAGCAGCAGCTACAGAAACCTCCCTTTGATGTCTATGCCCATAGCACCTGCGTGGCTAATCTGGGTCTACAGCATGTATCTCATGCTCCTCACTACCAACAGATTGTGCTTGGTAAATGCCATTTAACTGGCTGGAGAGACAACGAGGTTTAAGAAGAAGCATGGAAATGGCATCCACTAAATTTAGAGTACAAAAGCAAGGCTGTCTCTGGGAATGGACTGAACAGACAACCACAAAGTAGGGAATATGATAGAGCAAAGGAAGTTAGGCTGGGTCCCTTTTTCAGGGTGGAGAAATCGCACAGCTCTAGTCTGTGACTAGCCCATGCAGTTCTTCTAATTGCTATTGAAGGTGCAGGTGTGCCTCACTTTTGCTAACACAGACTCCTGGCAATGACGCTAAAAGACTTACAGATGAAAAAAGTTATCTGAAAAAAAACAGCCCCCCAAAACAAACAAACAAGAAACAAAACAAAACAAAACTGAAACAAAACAACAAAAGAAAACAAATATAAAGCAAAAACAAACAAACAAACAAACCCACAAAGAAACAAAACACCAAGATCTCCTTTATCTAATTATACAGTCTTGGAAGGGTGAAAGACCCTGACATTTGCTTAACAGAATATCATTATGTATTTAGCCTTCACATTGTATGTTTGAATGTACTGAAGTCTATGTCATGCATGGCACATATAAACATACACGATACAGAGTCTGACGAGTTACCATCAGGACAGGAACTAAATGTCACATTAATATGGCAGAGTTAACATGCATGACCTCCATAAAACCTGTTCATTGTCATATTTATTCAAAATGATGGCTGGTGCTATATTGGGAGGTATCTCTCAAGTAGGAAGCCTGTTGTACATCCCCACTGGAGGGATGAAAACTGGACTAGGAAAAATGATGATGTTAAATACGATGTGATCAAAATGCTTGCCTAATACTGAAATATAGTGAGCTGGCTTAAGATGCAGTACAGCAACATATACTATTGAGAGTTACTAAAAAGCAGCGAGCTTTTCACTTCATGATATTTTCACTTTGATTGGTCTTTCCATAGTGAGAAATACAGTAAAATCAAATCAAAGAGATTATTTGCATAGGAAATAGCAAAAATATCACCACTGAGATCTACAAGGGAAAGACTTTGTTTAACCCTGGCAGTGAACATGCTATTTAATTTCATTTTTCAGTAAAGCAGAGGCAAATTTTATCTGCTGCTGGGTAAGGAAGAGACTCTGAGTCTGGCAAATAGCTAGCTCTGGGCTTTAGCCAGTGTCTGATTCTGGGAGGGTTGTAGACAGCTGTGGCTTCTGGTTGGCTTAGCCAGGTTGGAAGCACCGTGCCATGTGGAGAACACGCCAGGTCAGGGGGCCTGCATTTCTGTCTGCAAAAGACCTGATGAGATTTCTAAACAGATTCAGCACTTAGTGCCTGTATCAGGTTCATTACTCTGATCCCTCAGTACAAACTGCTTTGTGCAGAGGAGTTTTGGAAATGCAGCTCCTTTGCTGGTACATATCTCTGAGTTCATCATTCAGATCCACACCATTGTGTATGGGCAAGTCTCAGAGGGTTAGACCAAAAGTGACCAATTATAAAGGCATTCTCAGACTCTTTCCCTTCTTTATTATCTGTTTATTTATGATTTTAAAAATGAGCTGATAAGGAAAAAGGACCCATGTCTGAGTTTTGGCTTTCACTCTCAAACACAGTTTTCTCTGGGTTTCTGAATACCAATTTGATCTGACCTTTTCATTAGAGATCAACACTCTCCTAGACCAGCCTGTAATCTCTCACCTGCCTTCTAAGACACAACCCTGCCAACTTATTGTCATGGTGGATCATTCAAAGCAGTGAAGTTGGGTTGCGCTTGGCTTCCTGAGATTTTTAATATCAGAAGATGTTCTGTGCTTCACTGGCAAATTTATTGGGTGACGCAGTGGTAGGGAATTATGTGTGCACTGACAATGAAAAGCAGATTTGGCAACCCTGAGCTGATGGAAGACAGCATCACGGCTTTTTTGCAGAGGCATCTCCCTGGCAGAAGGAAGATAAGCTTCCAAGGAACACATTGCCTGTCCGTAAGTGTCTGTCCACTGTGAGCTGAGTGTATTGGAGACATCTTACCCAGCTTTGGCATGGGTAAGATGTCTTGCCCTTCTCCTCTCCATGTGGATGGCAGCTAGCACCAATAATCCTGCAGTCAGACTGAGTCTCACAGTTAATGCCCTGGCTGCACAGTGCAGGATTTGATTTCAGTTTCAAAGGTGAGAGGTAAAGCTTTGGAAAGAATTAACATCATAAAAAAAAAAAAAAAGTGGTATCTGAATGGTTTTGCATAAACAGCTACACAATGCATCAATGTTGTATGTTCTTCAAAAGAGAAAAAAACACTTATTTTTAATGTTTTAATATGCCCTGGTGTTAGAGAAAACAAGAACAAATTCACATATCACATCAAAGATAATAATAATAATAATAATTAATAAAAATAATCTGACCGACCGGCAGCATTTGTTGGCTTTAGAAGGCCTCCCATGACAGAAACACAGTTGAAGACATCCGAGAGCTCTTGGCAGGCTTGATGAATTCAAGTTTTAAAAACAAGTCTGGGGATGCTCCCTGCATGCTAGGGCCCTTTGACATTGGCGGGCCTGGCAGCCAGGCTTGCATAGTAAGCGCACTGAGTGGGGTCACACTGTCCATTGGCTCCTGGAGGTCCCTGTGGGCCCATGAGACCAGGCACCCCAGCTTCACCTTGAGGGCCAGGTGGTCCTGGCATCCCATCTTTGGCATAGCCAGGCTCCCCTGGGAGGCCTAAAATAAAAACACAATGCCCTTGGTGAGTGGCACCCTTAGGGTACCATACTCAGCAGTGCAACATCACAGGAGAGTGCGGTGCTCCCACATGGGATGCAGGCATCAGCCTCTACAATTTTGGGTCTGGCTGGCACTTATCTACAAGGTTATGGCAAACATGGATCCTCTGAATGCAAGATTTCCACCCTGTATGCACAACTCTACTATGCTTTCACATATGTAGAGTTTCCACGTTGTAGTTTCCATATAGTAGAGTTTCCACATTGTTATGCTTCAACAACATGGGTTGTTGAAAAAAGTGAAAAGTGGCCAGATGTTGAAAAGTGGCCAGATGTGATGCTAGTGTTAGGTTTCTTCCCTTTGGGCCACTGGCTACAGAAATTGTGTATGCTGTTATTTATGTTATCTTGATAGTTTATCTAATGTTGAAGAGCCCTTGTCTTCGTGACTGTTCTGAGTGATATGTTTTGTGGGGCTTTCTGAATAAACATACCTGGAATTCCTGGAGGACCTATTTCACCTCGTTGGCCAATGCCAGTATCTCCTTTCTCACCCTTTGCTCCTCTTTCTCCTGTAGAGAGGGGAAAAAAACAACAACAATAAATTTGTAAGCATTACCTGCAGATGTAAATAATACTACCACAGGTCTTCCATCCACACTGATGCCAACATATTTGCTAATAAGCAGTTCCTATTTATGGTCACTCCTCTGAGATGGGGCATAAGGAGGAATGAAGACCTGAACCACTCCAATGCTGATCAGAGGTAGAACACACACTCTGCAGTTGCTGGCCACATTCACAAAATCTGCTTTAAAAGACTGAGCCTGCTTCTAACATGTCTTCTAAGTGCCACTTAGAGGCTACTAACAGGAGAGGTGAATACCAAAGTTGTTAAGCAAGTCCAACTTACTGCTTGTATCACTGCAACATCTCAGTAAGTCTGCCCAAGGCAAAGTAAGACCATGATACAAACTCAG